AGTGTAAATGTTAAGGACATAATGTCCTTAACTTGTATTTGCACCTTCTATTGTAAAACTTTAGGACCTCGTGTCCTTAACTTCATATGTGTATTGTAAATGTTAAGGACATGGTGTCCTTAACTTCATGTGTGCAGTGTAAATGTTAAGGACATAATGTCCTTAANNNATGCTCAACATTAAAAATACTAGATAAAAACTAAATACCATGTTAAAAAGTGGTTATCCCACGCCATTTCTTCTACAATATATGGTGAAGTATAAAATTAGTCCATTATTTTCTGGGCTTGACCCTCGACCATGAGGGGCTTTTGCATCTATACCCGGTTTTGGGGTCACAATTGAACCTATACCCACTTTGCAAAAAAGTTTGCAAGCCTACCAATTTTACGATCAATTTCAGACTTATCGGGTCTGAAGTTAAAAATAAATTAGTCTGAAGTGAAAAAAGTAATTCAGATGCACTTAAAGCTAAATAGGTCTGAATTGCAACAAGTGATTTCATATACTTAAGGGCAAATAAATCTGAAGTGCAATCAATAGTTTCATGCACTTAAGGCCAATAAGTCTAAAGTGAAAAATTGCACTTCAGATGCACTTAAGACCAAAAAATCTGAAGTGCAATCAATAGTTTCATGCACTTAAGGCCAATAAGTCTAAAGTGAAAAATTGCACTTCAGATGCACTTAAGACCAAAAAATCTGAAGTGCAACAAACGTTTTCCTACACTTAAGACCAATAAGTCTGAAGTCGTGAAAAAATGCACTTCAGATGCACTTAAGGCCAAAAGGTCTGAAGTGCAACAAACATTTTCCTACACTTAAGGCCAATAAGTCTGAAGTGAAAAATTGCACTTCAGATGCACTTAAGGCCAAAAGGTCTGAAGTGCAACAAACATTTTCATGCACTTAAGGTCAAATAGGCTTGAAGTGCAAATTGCCCAGAAATAAAAATTTGTTCTTCGAATTATAACAATCTAATATACAATTTAATACCTAAATCTACTCCAAACGAGCTCAAATTTGAAACATAACCTCCAAATATCATCAAGAACAAATCCCAATCATCAATTTGTCAAAACAATAATAAATCTAACGAAACCCATTTTGTAATTAAGAAAAAGAAGAAGAAGAAATCCTAAGCAATAGTAAAAAATAAAGCGCCTCACCACTGTAAAATATTATAAACTACCTTAAAATATGTTCACAAACACCATATAAAATCACTGTCACCTGAAGAAGGAGAAGAAAGAGGAAAAAAAGGCATGAAATTATTTAAAAAGTAGGTACAAGTTAAATATTTTTTAAAAAGTAGATATAAATTAAATGGGGCGTGCAATTTTCACGAGCATGACCGCTACTTAAGCCCAGACCACAACAATTAAAATGAATAAGCCCAACCCAAGATGCAATTCCATATATCATCTTCTCTATCTATATCTATATATTCCTCTGCTTTCCATTTGTGTTGAGTTTCAAAGATCCAATCATTTCCCAATTGGGTTTATGAAAGGTTAGAGGAGAAGAGCTCCTTGCCTGAAAATTGGGCAGTGGTGCTGAAGGTGGAAGCTTAACTGTGATTCGCATTGTGTCAAGGCTACCATATAAAGGTATATCTATTGAGTTTTTGGTGTCTGCTTGGTGTTTGAGTTTTTGCTTCACTGAATTTATTATATTTCCACTTCACAACTTGTTGGAACAAATACTATGATGGTTTTTTTTTTAAAATGTTTTTCTTAATGTTTCTCAATTTATTTTAGAGAATTGTTGTTCAGTAGTCAGTACTTATGGAGAAGGTGACATGCATGTTATAGGTTCTTTTTTGCCCCTAATTTGATACATTGATAGTGTAAAGATTTTTGTACACAACTAGTGCTTTTTAACCAGTGATCCCATTTTTACAATATTATCAGTCAATGTTTATTTAGAGATTTAGTCGTAATTACGCCATAAGTGACCTGATTGTGTAAATGTCTTTTAACATGAAAACTCTTTGATTATTGCTTTATCTTTTTGCGGTACGTGGAAAGTTAAAGTTACATAGAGTTAGCATTTCTCTATGTAACACTGGGTTAAATATACAATGTGCATTTTTGTTTTTTCTCTATGAGCTATATACACTACCAACAAGGAAAGAAATCAAGCAAATTGTTAGTATCACATGAAAAGGAAACAATTGAAGATTTTTTCAACTTCTGATCTTTTTTCTTTTTAAAATCTTGCTTTGTTTGCCATTGAAGTAAATGGCTTAATTCTCTCAGTGTATCTCTGCATTACTGGACTATATTGTTTCTTCAATCTTGCCTCAAACGTGGGATTTTTAAATTCTACCAAAAATCTTCGCTTTGTACACGATCCACGTGAGATAAGAACTGCACGGGTCTGAATTTAACTTTGGATTCTGCATCATTCAAATGAAAATATGTGGTGTACCCCGAAAAATTGGGATCTTTTTATAATGCATTATTGTCACTTTTTCATCTCTTATTGTATTCTCTTGGCGAATGTGATCAATTTACGTTGCTGCATCTTTCTAAAGCTATGTCACTTATACATATCAAACAATTATGGCCACGCTAACTAGTTTTGATCATACTTCCCCATCTATTTGATTTCTAGCTGGATTCACAAATCCTAGGAGATTGTAGCTCCACAACATCATATTTCAGCTGTAAAAGTTCGATAAATTGTTCTGTGACGGAGATCCAATTTTTATTGCAATTGCACTTTTGCTTCATGGTGTTTTCTGGCAGTATGCTCCTTTTTACCGGTGACAAGAAATTACTGCAAATTCATCTGATTTTCTTGAACATAACTGTGTGCAGCAGGCCCGTGCATACATAGGAATATCTTAACTAGTGTTATTGGCGTGGTGTGCTCTGAGTTTGGCAATGGAGAGCATTCCGCGATTAGCACAGCGTGTATTTTTGGTGCCATTCACCCCAAAATACTTGAAATCTTGTAAGAAAACAAGGCCACTGACCTCCTACTTAATGCAAATCCACGATTCCCGTAAACCAGTATTCATACAATGGAATCTTCAGGGAAGACCTTTGTTATGCTCTGATTTAGTATCCGTGAAAAATTACAGTTCTACCACTGCTCGAGCTGGTTGGTTTCTTGGTTTAGGAGAGAAAAAAAAGCAAGTCTTGCCTGATATCGTGAAAGCTGGTGACCCTGTTCTTCATGAGCCCACTCAGGACGTTCCTCTTGGGGAGATTGGATCAGAGCGGATCCAAAAGATCATAGATGAGATGGTGAAAGTTATGAGAAATGCACCCGGGGTTGGTCTTGCTGCTCCTCAAATTGGTATTCCTTTAAAGGTTTGTTGAATAAAACCTTAGTTTCTCCAAAATATTGTTTCCCTCGCTGAGTTTGATTGTCTTGCAAGTGACAGATAATTGTGCTGGAAGACACAAATGAGTATATAAGCTATGCTCCTAAAGATGAAACCAAAGCACAGGAAAGACGCCCATTTGATCTCTTGGTGTGTGAACATTTATATTTATCATCTTGATAAATAGGAGGCCCAAGTATTGTGCCATACATTCATTTTTCTTCTTTTCTTGCAGGTTATTATAAATCCAAAGCTTAAAAAGAAAGGCAATAAAACAGCATTATTTTTTGAGGGGTGCTTGAGGTAACAGAAGCAACTAGTCTAACTTCAAGTCTTTTACATGTTGAACTCTATAATGCAGTAGTTTATTGATTTAGGACCACGTCGGGCATAGAGGCATGCTTTGTGGTACAAATTACTGGGCCTGGGGCACTTCTGCAGAAAGACAGCTATATATGCACTATGCAGTCTCAAAACTCCTTTAGTATCAATATATCCTAGGAAAGTATCCAGAAAATGGCATGCATTAACAGCACATAAGCGGAAAATAGTTGTTTGTTTATTCTGTAATAAACTAGCAGAATTTATCATCACTTCAAATAACGTGAAACAAAGGCTTTTGAAATTTAAAGAAGGTACAAGAGGCAATATTTTCTCGACAATGATCAGGAATTAGCGCTTTTTTGTTTTCAGTAGAGGCAATCACCAAGGTTTACTTGACGTTTATGTTCTGATAATCACGTCATTTATTCTTAATTAACTACCAATCTAGAGATATGCTCTTTTATTGTGCAAGTAAATGTGCCTTGAGGTGAAGATTTCACTTCGCCTATAGAAGAGATGGCATGTGAAGGAGAGCTTTGTTGATTTACATTGTCATGAGTTTCATTACTTTGCTTGCACACATGTTGTAAATAGTAAACAGGAAATAAGTGCTTTTCTTTTTAGCTTTTATAGTTGTAAAATGTTTATTAACAAAACACCTAGCAAACTGCAAACAGTTTAACAGCACTATTGTGTGGAGGTTCAAACTGTCACAAGAATCTGAAGTTCTCCTTGACAGGGTGCTGTGAGCTTTTAAAGGGATATATTATGTTGGTCAAAACATGATATAATTGCTAGATGTCCTATCAAGTTAATAACCAAAGGTATAAGTGAATTCTTTGCTTTCCTTGTAGCGTTGATGGGTTCAGAGCAGTTGTGGAAAGACACCTAGAAGTAGAGGTTGGAGGATTTGACCGAAATGGAAAAGCAATCAAAGTTGATGCTTCAGGATGGCAGGCTCGCATTTTGCAGCACGAATATGACCACCTGGACGGAACACTTTATGTTGACAAGATGGTTCCTAGGACATTCAGGACTGTAGAGAACTTGGACTTGCCTCTTGCAGCCGGATGTCCTAAATTGGGAGGGCGCTAACTAATTGCCCTAATCGACTCTTCATCAAATTTTTTCCTTGTTCTGATGTTGTGAAGTTAAAGTTCGAGGTGTGCTTCGACATTTGGAAAGTTTAGAAGACAATTAAAGATGCTGCAGGCACTAACTCTGTGTGTTTGTGGAATATTGATATGCTTCATTCTGATATCAGCAATTGAGAATTATAAGGACGGCTCTATGACAGATAAGTGTACTGCATATACCTTCTTTTTTTTTTTAAAATGAGATGAATTACAGAGATTCATTTTTCAAATTGTAGACTGTTCCCAGAATGTTAAGAAAACTTAAGAGTTTGGAGTTCCTACTCTTGGGTTGACATGGACTCAGAAATCTGTTTTGTAAACTTTGATAGGAACCCTTTTGCTGGTAGGGCTGCCTATAAATTCCTTAAGATGCCTTAAAGGCAATCACTAGTTGCCACCTAATGCTTTTGAAACTCTTGCAAGATCGACAAAATACTGCAACATTTCTTTTTCTACATCTTGTTTTTTTTTTCCTAGAATAATTAGGAGACGTTCAAGTAATGGCTTTACAACTTGTGCAATTATTAACTCAGATGAATGAAAGTGCAAGAGTTTGATCCAACCAAGTTAACATCTATTGATGAATATACTCTGCAGTTGATGCATGTATTATACTCCCTCCTGTCCTTTTTATATGTCCCTTCAGCCAACAAAATTTAATCTAAAATATTTGTTACTTTAGAAAACTAAAAATGCATTAATTATTTTTCTGTAATTCTAAATTCTTAAACTATAGATAGTAAAGATAGAAGGAAGTACCTTCTACGTTTAAAAAAATCCCACTCACATATTAATGGTCTAAAACTGACTTTTCATGTATTTAATTAATATACATCAAAGGGAAGCTAAAAGGGTTTGGTCGTGAGATGTGCCTTCGTATTGTTAGTGTATAAATTTGTTACACTATCATTATATATAACTTAAATCCATGTTAAAAAGCATCTTGGGTTGGAGTTGAAAAATAGAATGACAGTGTTATTCATAAAAGCTTTTGTTTATGGATCAACATGAACCCCTGCCAACCCTTTATTCTGTAACGGCATTCAAAGATCAACATGTTTCTAGACTATACTAGTGTTAGTGTACGTGCGTTGCACGTGTGCATCGCGTCAATCATTATTAAACGTATACAAGAAGAAAAAGTTGTTGAAAATTAGCAATTGCAGTTAAAATAAATGCAATATATGTTTAAATAATAAAAATTAATTTACATTGACACAATAGTTAAACTCAATATGTTTTGAAACATGCAAAGATGATGAATTTAGTTGGATTAGTTATATAGTATTTGTAATTATTATTAATTTATTATATCAAATATAAATATCTTATGTTGTTGTATTCACCTAACATCTCTTCATAAATGCTACATTTATAATGTTATTATATAACAAGATAATTGATTTCTTATTAATTTTAAAAGGCAAGTAATGAATATAAGGAAATAATGAAGATTTTAATATTAATTGTAAATTTTGGACAATCGATTTTTTTAACAGAATTAAGAGCGCACTCTTTAAGTTGATAAAAAAACAGAGTATAAAACCTTTATGCTAGTTACAATCATGTAATGAATCAATTAGTTTTTTACTTTTTTGGAAAATAAGGAAAATAATATTTAATTTCAATTTATCAAGATTCTAAAATAGATATTTCATGTAGAGAATGAAGTTACGCTACTTTTATATTAAAAGAGTTTAAAAATGTGCCATGCTCTTTACTTTCATTCATTGTCCTTTCTTGGATTGATTTCACTCATATTTTATCGATGATAAATAATTTTTATTGGAGTTTTACACTTCTATAATAGTATATATAAATAAACATTATTTCTGAAACTTTTAGTTTTAAATCATCTCAAATTTTGAATATTGAAATGTATTTATATTTTTGTGAAATAAAACTTTTATTTCCAATGTTTTCAAATAAAAAATTTATATAAGATGAAATATTAATTAATATTTAAGTATTAAATTTTAGAAGATCCTACATATTTGTTCACATAATAATAAGCAAGGTGTAATTTTAGCTAAGAAAAACTTTATTTTTAAAGTATTCAAATGAGAAAAATATTTATAAAAATAAAATTTAAGTGATTTTAATATCATATAAGTTAGGAATCTTGCGTATAATTTAAATAAGAGACAATTTACTGAGCTATATTTTATTTTTATTTTAAAATTTTAAATATTAAAAAAATAATTAAATATTATTGTTTTCGACGTGTATACCTTCTATCGACGCGTATAAAATTATAAAAAATTTAAGCCCTTCAAAATATAAATTTTTAAAATATAAGCTCTTGAAAATGATAAATATTGAGCCTATTCAGTCAAAAAGTAGCGGAGGGCCTAGCTAAGCATGAAAACAACCAATATAATTTTGAAAGTTTAATATTCTATTATGTATCCTGTTCTTTTATATTAATTTCGTATCAAAAAAATCGTCGAGGTACCATGTATCATAGACAAGTAAACTACAAAAAGAATAAAAATTAGCGATGTATAAATTCATCGCTAATCCTATTCAGTGACTGATTAGTAACTGATTATAAAAATTATCATCTACAAGATAAATTTCGTAACTAATTCATGTTTTGTAAAGTTAAATTATGTAATAAACTTTCTTAGTAATAATATTAGTTTCTTTTTTACCAAAAAATAAAATTCATTTTCCATCTATTTAACAGGAGTGTGCACTGATGTAATTTACGTTTTCTATAAATTAAATTATGGTAATTAATTTTTCATCATAAATTAATAACTTCTATTTTTCCAGCATTAATTATTATTTTAGAACATAATGCTGTGGTAAATTTTAAAAATAGAAATAAACGAATTTAACAACAAAGCTTCTAAAAATACTTATGATTTTAATTTTTTAAAAACAACAAATAAATCATATAAAAGGAAAATAAAGAGGCAAAATTGGTCTTTGTGATTAAACAAAAAGGACAAAGAACAAAAATATTACACAAGATCGTGAAATTTCCTTGTTCGAAAGTCGAAACCANATTAAACAAAAAGGACAAAGAACAAAAATATTACACAAGATCGTGAAATTTCCTTGTTCGAGAGTCGAAACCAACAAAAATAATTCTACTACTTTTTTGTATTCTGTTATGTCTTTAATATTTTGTATTCTTATTAGGAGAAGATATTAAACACTGAATTATATTAGAAAAAACTTCTTTGATTTATAACTCCAAAATATTAGGAAAGTTTTTTGATTTTATAATTTTATCCAATATAAAATATATTTTAAAGGGTAAAAAAAGCGAACGATATTTCATTAAAAGTTTTCGTGCTTTTAATATAGTATAGATATAAATATATATAAGGTATATGCTACAGAGATTGAGGTTTGGAGAGTCCGAAGGGAAAAGTTTCTTCTCTAACTATCATAGCTGTTGTGACAACCTTCTAACTAGTCCGTAGAGAGCGAGAGTAGAAAGGAGAGAGAACCATCTTTTGCACACAAGCTTGAATCTGTCTAGAGGTATTAGCTACTTTCAAGTTCAGATTCAAGCTCATGGCAGAAGATGAGTCTCTATTTTTCCTCTTCTTCTCTTTGTTCTTATGTATGAAGGTCTAAAGCATTGCCTAGTGGCCATAGTCTGGGCCTCTTTAAGCTAGATGATTTCATATCAATCCTAGTTTCGTTGCTAATCCTTTTTTGGGTAGGAAGTAGTAGTAACACAGATAAGTTTGAAAAGATGGGTTTTTCTCTTCATCATTCTCTGTTCACAATTAGCTCTTCAGGCTTTACAGTAGTTTGTTGTGTTGTGATATTTGTGCATTCAAACTTGTTCCATTAGGCCAAAACAAGTCTTTTGATTATAGGTAAGTATCTTGAAGAAAGATCAGTTGTCTCCAATTTTAGTTGAAGAGGAATGATTTTTACCCAATAATTGCAATATTAGTGGTATTAGAGCACCCTTAATTACCCAGAATGAGGCATGTCACTCATTTAATTGCTCATTTCTCTGCCAAATTATAGAAGTGACCTATATTATTGATCCCATTCTAATGTTCATACACTTGAACACAAGGCAGGAGCACAATAAATTCGTTCTGTAACAACTATTTTGTACTACATTCTGTCTTCAGTAGTAGATCAGACACTATGGTCACCACCACTGCTTACAAATTACGAATGACATTCATGTCAAGAATGTAAGCAGACAACAAAAGATTCAGAAGGAACAGAGTTTCTCCCGTCACATTTACTAGCTACCGACTTTAATTTATAATGTTGCTGCACCCAAGGGTGTGACCTAACGGTCAATGAATTGGGGGAAAATTGTGAAATCTCTGGTTTAAATTGCAATGAAGGCCAAAACACTAGGTGATTTCTTCTTATCTGTCCAAGCCTTAGTGATTAGTTACCCGGTATTAGTGTTGGTGGAAGCAGTTACCCGATCAAGATGGATGCAAGCTGACCCGGACACCACAATCATTAAAAAAAAGAAATTTTACCTCCTATAGCAAAGGTATACACCCTATTTATTATAAACCAAAATTATTTTAAAATATTATTTTCTATAGCTACCTTTTATATTTTATAGCAAAATAAGTATTTTATGGTATATACTACCATTGAGGCATGAAATACGCTATTTATGTTTTTCCTCTCTTAGACAGCTGGACATGCCTATTTTTAAGGGATTGCCGTTACTGTATTCATGAATACATGGCGCGAATACATGTGAATACATGCGCGTACAACTGTATTCATGAATACAGCAACGCGAATACATGTGCATACATGCTCGTACAGCTGGACTGCCCTGATTTTAGGCGCTTTTTGCTGCTGTATTCATGAATACATGTCGCGAATACATGTAAATACATGTGCGTACAGCTGGACTGCCCTGATATTAGGCACTTTTTACTGCTGTATTCATGAATACAACAACGCAAATACATGTGAATACATGCGCGTACAGCTGGACTGCCCTGATTTTAGGCGCTTTTTATTGTTGTATTCATGAATACATGGCGTAAATATATGTGAATACATGCGCATACAACTGGACTGCCCTGATTTTAGGTACTTTTTGCTGTTGTATTCATGAATACAACAGCGCGAATACATGTGAATACAGTACCGTAACAACTGAATAGTAGCTATAGGAAGTAATTATGTATATGGTATCTATAGGAAATTAATAGCCATTAAACAATAGTGGTTTATGAAAGTTCCTCTAAAACAAATCTTAGAAACGTTGCTCAATCTAGAAAATGCTGTGATATTTCTTATTTCATATGTCACTTTTCAATTCCTTTTCATTTTTTTCCTGGAATAATGAAGAGACATTCAAGTCAGCTCTACAATGGAAGAAATTAAAGTACTGCAAGAGTTTGGTCCAACAAAGTAAAAACCTATCGATGAGAATATACGGTGTAATTGATAAGTTTGTCGCACCTTTTAAATTTTGAATCATCTTGAAATA